TAAGTACTTCACTTTGTATGACTGCCTTGCCCGCCTGTCTCTTAGGCTGCCGCTCACATTGACAAAGTGCAATGTTGGGCTCAGTGAAAGTCAATAAGAAGACCTCATGGCCCACAGATGTAGCAGTCAAGCCAAATGGCGGCGAAATACACTCTTATCTCTGTTTATCATAAACAACCTGTGTTTGAAACACTTAATCTATCACCTCAGCCAGGCAAACAAGTGGCTTTGGAAATACAGACCATACCATCCAACAGGGCTATCCAACAAATGCCTAAATTCAACAATTCCACTAACTTTATTTTGATAATAAACAGGTGTTTGGTGAGAGAAGAGCAAACAAGCCAGATAGATTGTGGTACCAGGAGGGAAGCACTGGCAGTCATTATATAACTGGACTATAACGTCCTGGACAGAGAATGTCACTGCTGCTGTCCTTTGACTGACAGGTGCTGAGACGGATCATTAGCACCCTGTCTTGACATATTCGTGTGACAACTCCCCACATGGCGCCCACTGCAATTCTGAGGATGTTCGTTATTTAACATACAATTATCTTAATATAGGAAGACAATTTTGACCATCCAAATTACCATTTACATGGTTTCCATGTAAACCAACAACATGGCAACTGTGAACAAAGAAGCCTGTACCTGGGTTGTTAAATATAAAAAGCCACTTCAATTTAAAGCTCTTAAACAGCCTGAAGAGCCTAGCAAGCTCATTTTAGGATTTTATTTTATACGCATGCAATGCATATATATTTGTTGACGTACAGGACTTGACGAACAGCTTTTTGTTTTGATTTTTTGCAGACCCAACTTGAAAATCAGAGGAGAATTTTTTGGCCGCGCTCTTCATTCATCCCAGGAGGAACCAGAGGCGCCCGTCCTGCCAGACAAAGCCAGGAACAGCTGGCTGATCGATACCCGACAAAGGCTCAGAGGTTAGAGCAGTCAAAAGATTGTTAACTAGCCATTTTATTTGCCAGTCATTTATATCATTGTTTATGGTTCAGTGCACCCCTTCAGCACAGGCCATGCTGCACACCTGTGCTTGGAACACTTTCGGGGCCTCTTCACACACTTTTCATAACCCTATGGACAACGGAACAATGGCACACCCTCTCATAGATAGATAGATAGATAGTTTTAGAAAAAGTATTAATGTGTGTATGTTTTCGGCTAAGTGCAATGTGCAGGTGTGCATGTGCACTGATGGCAGTGGAGGATAGGATCGGATTGCATTTGCACATTCCTGCATATGCATGTGCATTTATGTTTGTGTGAATATGAGTGCTAGTGTACCATGCATCGCAGCCTGTAACACATGGCTTTGCTGCCACCACTCTGGCTCCTGTTGTGAGTGTCCCTGCAGGCTGGCAAAGTGGGGAGACCCTCTCTGTGGCTCACCCAGGCGGAGAGGGGCTTCCTGCACATCTTTTGTCACACCATTTGGGCCCTTGTGTCTGTGGCTGCCCCGCTCCGGACCCACTTGGCAGCTCCCAGTGCAGACGGACATCTGCTCTTTCCAACCTCCTGGTGAACAGAGAAAACAACAACCAACAACAGACCCTGCTCTCTGCCTGCTTTACTGCATACAGTTACACAGTGTCTGTAAGGACAGCAACAATATTTTGATGCAAATGTCCCATCTATCTATCTAGCTAGCTATTTAGCTATCTAGTGTCTCAAAATTTTATGGAGGATGGCATGTTCTTGATTGTTATAAGTTAATACCAGAGTTTTTATTATGTACCATATATATTTCCATTTTTAAAATAACCGGGAAATAAGCCGAGAAATTGATGCGTAATGAGGCTATGACATTGTGCACCCTGAGCAACAGCGGCTTTCTAATTGCTGGTGAAAGCTACAAGTGATCAGTTTTCTTCCAGATATATCTTTGATAGGAGGCCTACAGATTATCGCGCTGCTTTGTAAACCTGCACATTAAAGTATATTTCTGCAATCTGGCTTGACTCCTTTCTCCCGGTTCTCTAAGCGGAGTGATTCTGGAGCACGCAATATTGAACACACTTTGTTCGTGCTCAGCGGCCCAGAATAACTCGGTCATTATGGTGGCGAAAGGGACAGGTTTTGAGTTTGATTTCATGATGGTAATATAGCCCATGTGTGCTGGAGAAGAAAGCATTCAATGGGGACATCTGTTCAATGCGGCTTACAGTTACAGCCGCGCGTAAAGAACAACCTGTGCACACCATATGAACTAGGACCGACCCCTAGATGCTGAATGCAACAGGCAACAAAATACTTTTTAAAATAGTTAGTGCGAAAGAAGAATAAATTACAAAATCAGATTTTAACGTGCACATGGATTAAATAGATCTTGTACCTCTGTCGCTTCAGCAGGAAGACAGTTCCCTGTTGAGGAGTTATCACACTGACCTCTGACATCAGTCTTGCTGGTGTGATCACTTGGTAATTTGTCACCAGAGGCCAACATGTCCGCTGCAGCTGTAGCCCATACCTTGCTCTCCGAATGCGTAAAATTCCTATTGCGCACAACATTATGAATGGCCATCCCCTTTAGGAGGAAGAAGAAATGGATAAAACCAGTTTGATCACAGATGTTTAATTGTTGTGTGCTGAAATAAAAACTTGAACAATATGTACAAATAATGTGTGTATCTTTATACACCTTATAACTTTGGGTGCATGTAGAGTAAAAAGGGGTCGGCGGCATTTTTCCAGGTTATTCCTAATTGAATTGCCAGTGTAACATTTATCTGGCATGGTCCACAGTCACACCGGCAGCAAGAGATGTGTTTTACTCCGCTGAGAGCAAACGTCGAGGGTCAATCAATGCACTACGGAGCGGAGGAGCACGGTATGTAGCTTTTATTCTCGTCATTACTTTGTCACATTTTATTCGCCTTTGAACGTTGTTACATAATGTCCACAGTTTGCTATGATTTTTGACAGTCTGTACGAGTGGCTAGTTTGACGGAAATAAAATAATGGAAGAGCAGAAAACGGATCGATAAATCCTTTCTTATATCCAACGTCAATAAGCCAAGTTATCGTGTGTGTTTGTGGGTTTTTTTTGTCTGATTATCTAAAATCTGTCCTTGCTTACATATAAAGTCGTGGCTTATCGTGGGTTCTCATTTCCCCTAAAATAATACTAGAAGCGTACACAGAATAGGTTAAAATAAAGATAGATAGTGAGCCGATTTAAAAAATGTCAGAAAATTGTTGACATTGCCTCTAAATATAGGCACTAATTAACACTGTGTGTGCTGTTAGAAAAACACTTAAAATAACTATATGTTGCTCCATCTATTTCGGAGGGGTTTTTTAACTGTGAAACATTTTGAATAATTTTGGCAAGTTTTATTTTTTTTCGCACGTTCTTTTTTTTTTTTTTCTTTTTTACACCTGAAGGTAAAGCAGTGAAATTAATCCAAAAAGCTGTTGTCCAATCCTAGAAACACAAGAATTAATCAGATAGTCCATCTATCACGCTGTGTAATAAAGGAAGCGACATGGGTTAGGCAGATGATGTGATGAATAATCCCTGGTCGTTTTAATTAACTTTTCCCTGTCCTGTAATGACCAAGCTGGTCAACAGACTCGGTCAATAAGCATGTTAATATCAAACAAATAAAACTGCCGATGATTAAAAACCTCCTGCGTTATTAAATTTGAAATTCAAATGAAATTTATGCTTCCAGTGCACACTGCATGCTAATAGCGCCCACAGAGAGTCCCAGGGTTCAACACACGTTTTGCCTACAAGTTCTTATTATGTAACAGGAGCTTCCTCTATAGATTTAACAAAATGTCAGTGGGAAAAGTGATGAACCTATTCAATTTAACCAGCTTATCATTTTATTGTCAGTCTGACACAGAGTGCAATCACTTACTTTAATAAATAATCTCAGTTAACCTGCGGCACCGACATTCTCTATAATAACCCGTCTTGAGATTTTTTTACTTTTTTATTTTCTAATTTTAAGGCTGAAAATGTTCTAAAGTCAACCACATCGACCCCTCATCATCTTCTTCATCATCATCTGTTGTTTCAGACTAATGCAGAGCATAATAAAATGAATAATCCTCCGCTGGAATGCGCCATCTACCACTTTTAATCAAAACTGTTAAGATAATTGAACACAATTACAGTAATGTGAAAGTTTGAGAGGGTGTAATATAGGTCCGCGGCCTGAATACAATGCAGCCTTTGTTTCGTGTGTAATAGTTTGTGTATATTAACTCCTAAGAAGTTAAAACATGCAAAATCCCGAGGGATAATTTATGCCAGAACCAGAATAAGTTTCTAATATGAGGAAGATGAACACACAAAAAAAACCCCGAAACAAAACATGGGGAGGCTTTTATAAAATCAAACACCTGGGCAGCTTAAAAAGATCCTGCACTGAAACCTGTAAAGTCACACGTAGGCCTGTGCACAGGATGAAATGGAGTTGACCCACTTAAACTTTTATTCACGTTTATGCCTGAGGGAAAGAGTTTGAGGCTATACATCAAAACTTTTGGAGCTGAGATCATTAAAGCAGCACACAGTAAGGAACACTGAAGTCATTTAAAAAAGCGGGGAAAGCATCTTTAAATGGGAGATTAAATTTATTTTCACGGAGGCTGTTTTGCTTTTTGGAGGTGGTGTGCTCATAGTTTGCCAACCTTTTTATTTACCCCCAGTTACATCGCCGAGCACGGCTCATCATGCCGCTTTCTTTAAATTTATGGAACGTGATGTTCTGTAAAATTTCAATAAGTGGCCCCCTAATTCCTCCTTCCTAATTCACTCTCATTTAACTTTACCTTCCTTCCGCTGTCTTTTATTATGGAGGGGGCGGTGGGGGGTGGAGGAGGGTGGAGAGCTGTCTGAGGCGCTCTATTGATGACCTCACGGTAGTATGTGGCAGTGCGGCGGGACGGAGCCGCTGATTGGTCGCCCGTGTCACAGCGGCACTTCAAAGCCGGAGAGAAGCCTACAATTGTGGAAGAATGGGCGGAACACATCATTGTATTGCACACCTCTAAAAAAACAGTGCTCTGATTCATAAATATAAAAAGATCCTCTGAGGAGGGCAGTGTTTTGTGTGATGGCAACTTCACTTCTAGGGGTGAGTCGAAAGGACTTTCTTACTGGTTTAATTAGTTCTTGTCATTGTCCGGCGGAGGGGGATTAAACTTACAGCAGCCGCAAAGAAGCAGCAAAGGCAGTGCGTCGCTTATATTTTCAGCAAGCGGTTCGCATTAGAAAGCTGCGGCTCTGTAGACTGGATAGAAGTTTGTCCTGGTGCTCAAAACACGCATGTTTTCCTTGGTTTCCTGTTTGGCATGCATTTGTAAGCGCTGTGTGTCGCATTTCAGTTGTCTGCTTTCTGTTCGTCCAGGTAGGAGGTGATAATAATCTACTGTAATCACAAAAAAAAAGCAAACCAACCGCTAAAACTGGGAAAACAATTTACTAATTTACCATTATCTTTCGAGCTGAAACTGCATATCCTACAGATCTGTGTAATTAACCTGTTAAACTTGTTAGACTGAAGTCACTTACAGCTTTTCTTGTCCTTTCAGGAGGAGCCGAGGTTAGGATCGACTCCTTTAGCCATGTTAGCTGCAACATGCAACAAAATAGGGAGTCCGAGCCCTTCACCGTCGGCAATATCGGATAATTCCTCGTCATTTGGAAAAGGCTTCCACCCGTGGAAAAGAGCCGCTGCCAGCAGCTGCAGCCTCGGATCCGGCCTGTCCGGCTTCGGTGTGTCCCGGAATGGAGCCGGCATCTCGGACTCTTTCGGCACCAACAGCTCCCCTGGATCCAGTGCTTTTTCCCTCACGTCTGGTACCTCATCTAGTTCACACTTTGGAAACGATTATTCTGTTTTCCAAGCCTCGGTTTCGAACAACTCTCAAGAATCCAGCCACCAGCCGGTTTTCATCTCGAAGGTGCACACCTCAGTGGACAGTTTGCAGGGCATCTATCCGAGGATGAGCGTTGCGCATCCCTACGAGTCCTGGTTCAAATCGTCTCATCCCGGTATCCCCACAGGGGAGGTTGGAACCACCGGAGCCTCTGCGTGGTGGGATGTGGGAGCTGGATGGATTGATGTTCAAAACCCTAATGGAGCAGCACTACAAACGTCCTTACATTCCGGTGGACTCCAGACCTCCTTGCACTCTCCTCTGGGCGGATATAATTCTGATTACTCGAGTTTAAGTCACTCTGCTTTCAGTACAAGTCCCTCTCCACACCTGTTGACAACCGGCCAGCACCTGATGGACGGTTTCAAGCCGGTGTTATCCTCTTATCCGGACACAACCCCCTCTCCCTTAGCCGGGGCAGGGGGTACTATGCTATCCGGGGGTCCACCTGCATCTTTAGCGGGGTCTCCGAGGTCCTCTGCCCGACGGTACTCGGGCAGAGCCACCTGCGACTGTCCAAACTGCCAGGAGGCGGAGAGACTGGGACCGGCGGGCGCCAGCCTCCGGAGAAAAGGTCTCCACAGCTGTCACATCCCCGGCTGTGGGAAGGTTTACGGGAAAACGTCACACCTCAAGGCGCATTTGAGGTGGCACACCGGCGAGAGGCCGTTTGTGTGCAACTGGCTCTTTTGCGGGAAGAGGTTCACGCGCTCCGACGAGCTCCAGCGACATTTACGCACACACACCGGGGAGAAAAGATTCGCCTGTCCGGTGTGCAACAAGAGATTTATGCGTAGCGATCACCTGAGTAAACATGTAAAAACTCACAGCGCCGGGGGATCCGCTGGCTCTGGCTCCGGGGGGAGCGGAGGGAAGAGGGGGAGTGATACCGACAGCGAGCACAGCGCGCCGGGAAGCCCCCCGTGCCATTCCCCCCGACCTGTTGCACCCACCTGAGTCAACCCAGGGAGTTGGCATGAACGGCCTCTAAAACTCCCCTCAGTGAAGTAAAACTGTAAAACAACAAAGTGCTGTGATGGAATTGTCCGAGAGGACATGAAAGTGGACATACTTTGGTGTATGCGAAGTGCTTCATCATGAGTGTTGTCATTTAATGAGAAAATAGGCCTATACGTTTATTTGACTTTTTCCAAGTGTTTAAGACTACTAATTGCATAATTCCATAGCTGTACCATCAGAAACTTCTCATTATCTGCAGTGTGAAAGTGTAATCAACTTATTGTGGGCACACTGGGACAGGGCACAACAGCAGAACCTTTTTCTGCAGCCTCGTCCTGAATTCCTCCTTGATGTTGTATTTCCCAGGGTATGAGAGGAGAAGATATAAAAACACTGCTGTGAAAATAGGCTTGCAAAGTTGTGCTACTGCTGTCACACATATTGTTCAAAACCAAACTGTGGCACTTTATTATCGAGCAGGAGAGATTTTTCATTTTTGTCCCCGTGGGTGGACTGCTCGGTACAGAACAAATACCTGTAGTGTGTGGTAAGGTAGGCCTATGGGATGAGATAGTTTCGTTATATCTGTCTGATCCCATCAACCGTTTGATAATGGAGGAGCAGTTGTAGGTTTATATCACATATTGCTATTCACTCCACAGCCTACAGTGTGTGCGCCAATATTGTAAGTAGGCCAGTTGAGGTTACTTACAACTTCGCTGAAAAATGTGTTGTACATAAAGAGAAATGTAGGTTAGAATAATTACAGACCAATGTAAAGGTGAGTAATGTATTTGTCCAGGAGACGATTTTGTATAGGTATTTCTAGTTGTATATGGACTCTAGTAAATATTTGAAAATATACGGAAATGTACTTGGATTTTTCTTTGACATGATATGAAATGTATTGTGGGGAGTTATATTTAACCACGAGTTTTCTTGTATTTAGGGGTCTATCATTAGGCGCACTTTGAATTTATTTGTAAGGTTTGGAAATCATTTACTGTTTACCCACTCATTTAATTTAAGTAAGCATGTTGTAAAGTGATTTTAATTTTACAATGATATTTTTTTCTTCCCTCCGAGAATGGCTTTTTATGTGAGCCACTCAATAAAGTCGGTATGAATTCAGAAGCAGTTGATCGACTCATTTTGTTTGATTGTTGAGTCGATAAAATCTAATCTTTTTAACGGCACACCAGAAATTTTGGAATTATTAGATTGCATATAATTTATTCATTTATATTATAACATAATTATGTATTTTTAGCCTAATTGATGTGAATGAATACAGATATTGCGTTTCATGACCCCGAGTAGAGCTGGTGGTTTATAGCCTACACGTTTTTCAGGCCAAGGTGGGAAAAGGGCCTGCAGCAAGATCAAGGCCTCACCCAGAAATTCATTACAATATCAATAATAAAATTAACTTTTAATTGGAGCGCATGCTTTAATAAAAAGGATTGGTACACGACAGTGTTGTGGGAATTTAAATTCACGCTGAATTCAACTATTTCCGGTCTATGTCTGCTTTTCTGTTGAGTGTGAAAATTAAATTTGCCTGAGGCCAAAGTCAACACAGGTCAAACACTCCTAATTGTATTAACCCACCGCTTTATTTAATAATTGCATGATAAACATCATGTAATTTACTGTATTTCCAAATATAGCCTGCATACTGTAACTTTTCTTTAAAATGTATATTTTTTTCCCAAATTCCAAAAAATATTAATTCAGAAGTTGTTTTTTTCTTCAAACTTTCTTCCTCAGCAGACCTCCTTCCAAAACAAACTTTTCCTTTACACCGAATTGTGTTGTTAATAATGCGCAGTGGCTTCAGTGTGTACAGATAAATGCTTTTATTATTTACAATAGTCTGTAAACATTTAAACAGTGAAATACAATTTAAGAACACATCATCCTGTGGCAAGGATTCTAGTTCCCCGTTAGGTTGGGGCTTAATTTGACTTAATCTCAAATTGGACAAAATCTTTCCCTTTTTAGTTAAATTCCAAATTATCAGTAGGCCCATAGGCTTTCAGAAACTACAACTTGAATTATTTTTTTCATGATCCAATTTGGCCTATTTATCTTTATTTGTTGTTTATTTTATCTTTTATAGGCTAATAATGTAGGCCTATATTTAGACTTAAATACCTGTTTGAGGTCACACAATTTGGCATTTTCTTTCCATTTAGGCAACCTGCATGTTTGATAATGTTGTATTTAACTGATAACAGAGATAACGCCAGTTTTTCATATTTATATTCTGGTTTCCGGGGGATTTCCGCATCAAAGGGCCTCCTCTAAAAACTCATAGTGTGCGCGTTGACGTCTAAATCACCCTCTAAACTGAGTAACAAAAATGAAAAGCATGGAAATTATTTTTACTGTGTTTTCTGTGTCTTGGGCTTACCGTGACGGGCAAACGAAAACCGGTAGGCTATCTTTCAAACGTCTGGTAGACTGCTTTTTGTGCACAGCGTTGTAGCGCCATCTAGCGTTTCCCCGTTTAATAACAGCAATTCAAAGTCCAACCGTGATCCACTTATCCTAAGCAATCGGTTTGGGTTCTTGTGTTATTTCAGGTAGATGAGAAAGCTTATCCTTATTATTTAAGTATGTTCTCTTGACGTCTTGCTGCGTCATACCAATTTTAATTTCAAATTTTCAGAGATGAACACATTTCCACATCATGAGAGGTGTATGTTGGATGAGGACAACATAAGGTGAACACAAGTTCACCCATCTGACCGTCTTGAATCACCCATGCTGCACGTCTGGCTTACTGTAGATGTGTGTCAGTCAGGGTGGATGCACAGTCTTAGGATAGAAGCTCATTAGAATGAAATGTACTCAAAATGTTTGAAACAATAAGCAACTTGAAACTCTCCAGTTCAGAGGATGCCTCATTTTGTTGTAGTTCATGAGGACATCTCATCAGAGCGATGTCCATCACCCACACTCTTTTTGTGTTGGAATTCCTGGGAAAGATCCACAATGAGCATTTGGCGGTCTGTTTTCTTTCTTTCTCTCTTCCTTTCTCAATTGTATTTTATATTTAGTGCAGACACATACATACAGGAATACAGGACGTTGCAGCTAGGTGCACCATCGTTTCCTCTTCTCCTATTTCCTCTCTTGTGTACATGCTTTTCTTACGAGGGTGCAGTCAAGCAGAAAATGCTGCAGGGACAATAGCCAAAGTTAGAAGTGAAACCAAGTTTCAGGGGGGGACTAAAATAGCAGAGCAGAAGGGCTTTGGCTGAAGAAATTCTGCCTTTGCTGGGTCACAGAAGCACTCTGGCATTTGGGATTTAATTATAGAGACATTTAAGGCCTGCAGCATAGTTACACTTTTCTGTAGGACGTGGATTCCTCAGAGCTCAATTTAAAAAAATAAAATTTGATTCTTTTATTTTTAATATTCACAAAATAATTAAACTCAAGGTTATAGTTGTTAGATGCCATGTGTACTTACAGGCTTTATTTTGTCTTTGTTGTAACGCAAAATACAGTTCAAATTTCTGTGTCTGCTGCATTTACTTCAATAAAGTCAGAGACGAGAAAAATATTTCTCACCACTCAAGGGAGCAAATATACTGTGGGGAAATATTACTACTTGCTTATGTAGTCAAGTTCTTTTAGTATAAGGTTTGACATATTAGGTTTAATGTGTATTTTAGGACCCCCTCGAAAACGTGATGGTTCATCTCAAGGGATTTGTCCTATTTCATAAACTTGTATAATTTATTTCTGGTTTATTTATGATTTAGGGGAAACGTTTTCAAATGCTAGGCGAGAGCAAACCTGGGTTTAAGATTAATTCGACAATGTTATTTCCTGATTTATCATATGACCATAAACTGCTATTAAAATGTGTGAAATTATAAATCCTTTACTGTTTTTCTCAAACTGGCCTTGAACATCTGAGAGAGAAAAAACAGTCCTGAAGTTTTCAACTGCCTCAACAGATGACTCAAATATAAACAGTCAAAAAGTAAAACAATTCAAACGAACATAGTCATTTCAACCTGACGTCTCAGAGTGCACGGCTCTGTGTTGACATGCTATTAACACCTTCCCAGACTGTTGCAGCATCACCTGGTCCTCAAAGGAATTTGAATTACGTTGGCCCCAGCACACGCGCCAGGATGAAGAGGGTGAGTTGCCAACTGTGGATGAAGGCCACAGCAACAGCTATAGTCAGAGCACACAGTGTTGGCAGCCAAACCCAGCTTTGAGCCAGTCACTTAGAAAGCATGAAAGAGAAATAATATTATTCTACAGTGGATAATAGAATATTTTGAGGTTAATAAAAATTTAAGCTGAATCACAGTCTTGACTGAGGCATCATGGAAATTCCAGCTGTTACTGATATTACGAGATATGTTGGGTTTTTCTAGCTCTACCAGCAAATCATAGTGTTGTGGTAACACCTCTCACCGATGATGCATCTGTGGCCAATTTTGTGGTTAAAACCACCAACCGCACTGTCATTGTCATCAAACCAACCAATCTCATGGGAAAGGCAATTTGACAAGGTTAGGAGGTTAGTCAAAATAATTAACAGTAATTGCTGCAACACTAACAGGGGTGCCCTTATACAATGCCTTCAGCAATTTAGATTCATTTAAGTCACAGGTGGTGTTTCACCTGTTTCATCAGTGAGTGGAATGCAGACTGAATCTCAGTGGGAGAAGCTCAGTTGGTTTTCAATTTATAAGCGTCATTACATCAGTGTCTATAAAATAAATAAGTTCACAACAGCATCAAAGTGCATACTGTTCTACCTGAAAACAAACTTCTGAGAGAACACGTTCAATGAAACGGAGACAAAAACATGAAACAGACTGCTGCACTCAAGATGTAGGTTCCCACAGCAGGTTAGGCCTGAGCCAGCATCCTTTCAAAGGTGATACAAGCTAAAACAAACAGGTTTACCAAATCCTTCCTATCACTATGACACTGATGGACAGTGAACACTATACTGCAATATAAATCTGAAGATCTGTAACAGCAAATATCACAGTGAGAGCTGCAACAGTTAGTCGATTAATCAAGTCGATTTTCAAAAAAATACATTTGAAGACACTTTTCACTGTTTTCTGGTGTTTTATAGACCCAAACATTGATTGATTTACATTTACAATTACATTTACGCTTTTATCCAAAGCAACTTACATCTGAGGAACAATCATCTACAAGAGATCTACAAGTAACAACAGACACTAGTAAGAGCAGCAATAATACTAGTAAGAGCTATAAATGCATACGGCATCAATGGGATAGATACCTAGGGGAAGCAATAGGAGTTAACAAAAAGTGCAATCGAGACAAGCAAGTAAGAGACAGAGGATGAAGAGCCCAGGAAACGCGTGTTAGAGGTTATGGGTTAAAGGTGTTGTGTTATAAGAGAAACTGTACTTGGATTGTAAAAATAAACAGCTGATTAATCAATAATAATAGTTGCAGCCCTAATCACTAGGCTTCTGTACCTTTTTATACCTGCTGTTGTGTTTGTATTTCATCCGCTCATAGCTACAGCATATAACAAGTTTTAAATATTTATTTTGGCCTTTGATTTTTCTAAATCTTGTAATTTTCTGAATCACTGCGTCTGCTTTGTTGTACGTAGACAATTCCTGACTTGTTGGATTGGTAAAAAATCTTAAACAGACATCCGCTCACTGGTTTTAGAATAAAAAACTAACAAATGAATGGTAGAGAAATGGCTCCACATAGTGGTACAAACATATCAGTGACAGACAGCGTGTCTAAATTGGAGCTTTAAATTTCATTTGTCTTATTATTAACTTGATGACAATGCATTTCGTTATCCAGGGAAAGTAGGAGCAAGGTA